CACACACACACACATGCATGAACCCACCCACATTCGCACGCACTCGTGCGCACACACACACGCATGCACGGACGAACCCACCCACCCACCCACCCACCCACATCCACGCACAGTCGTGCACGCACACAGACACACACATGCACGGACAAACTCACCCAAACACCCACCCACATGGCCTCACACTTGTGCGCACACACACACACACGCATGCATGGACGAACTCACCCACCCACCCACCCACCCATAGACACCCACATAGAGCAGGGATTTAGAGAAAGCTTCACTCAGCGACGGACAATTCAACCAGTTAACTTGCCAATGATTGCTCAATGATTGCTCAACAGAACACCAACCACCGAGGCAAATGCTTGTCAAGTCATTTTTGGGTCTCGCTCCACTATTCACCACATGCACGAAAGGCAAGAACTATGGCAACGTATCTTTCCATGTTCTAGCGGAAGGTTCATCCTCATTTTGCACATTCGGTAACCAGTGGGGCCAAGCCCATTTCAGGGTCTGATTCGTAAAGGCCCTTTTATTTCAAGGTGTTTCAGTCTTTTATCAAACCCCTCAAACCCCCTCTTGCTTCGGCAAACACCATGCGAGCCTCTGGCAAAAGTTTCACTATACTCCATTCCATGCCCCCAAGTGCCAGTCCGCAAACAGCCCTCTGCATCTTTTATTTTTATTTTTTATTTTTTTTTATTTTTTTTTGCATGCATGCATGCATCTTCAACGACTATCTGTCAGTTACGAGGTTTGATCACTCTGGCACTCACTCTGTTCTGCAGAGCAGACACTCTCTCAGTTTAGGGTTTTTTTCCCCGTCTTTTTCTTTTCTTTATTTTTCTTTTTTTTTCTTTTCTTAAAAGATCCATGTGGTAGTAGCGGCCGGGCTCTATGCCTCGGGAAGTGTCCGATTTGCATGTTCAACCAGTGGGGGGGGGGGATGACTTAGAGGATCCACATTTTCGGGGACAACCAACCATAGAGACTACACTTTGACTGTGTTACTTTTTAACAGTCGTAAGTCGAGCCCCTATAGCTGGTTACCTAGACCTAGCCTAACTAGACCAAGGCTCCCAAACCCGCAATGTGCCAAGGATCTAACTACAGACCCCTGACTTCTACCATAGAGGACACCCTGATTACTCAGGGACGACCCGGAGCAGATTGGGCTATTTCCAACCTGCGTCAACCTCACACAGACTCTGGTGGCGAACCACACTTCTATGAACGGTACGACAACCCCCCTACCCTTTCCCAGATGAGTCTACTACCTGGTGGAATTCCCTTGATGTGTACCCCTAAGTGATCTCTCCAGTGGGTATGACAGACCAGGCACTATCCCGGATGAAGCCCATCCCGCAGGCATCGTAAGATTTTAACGGGGGCCCGCCTGCAGGCATCGTGAGTACGTAGGACCCGTCCTGCTACGACCACACTATAGGGTGCATGAGAGCCGGGATCAGACCAGGACCAGGGCGGGACAGGTATGGGTTCAACCATCGGTGAACCTCTGGATCGGGAAACCTAAGGCGGTACCCAAGACATCTGAAGACACCCCAGGAGCCCACACAACCCCCATGGAACCTGAAGGGGTTCACACCCCTCATGCGGACTGACACCCTAACCTAACCCGACCCCTAACCTAAACCCCGCACTGGCCAGTATGTCTGGTGCAGACCCGATCATCGGACTGGAGGCCTGACTAAGCCCTTCGGGTACCCCTCATTCTCAGGCGCAACCCCAACATCGGACTATCCCGTGGGTCTGATCATTCAGGACGGACGACCCTCCCCCAAAGCCCGCGGTGAAATCCCTGGACTAAGAGCAGACCCAATCATCGGGTCGGAGATCAGACCCAACCGAACACCCCTCATCTGTGGAATAACCCCCTCAGTCATCGGACTACCCCAAAGGCCGACCACTCAAACAGTCCTCCCCCAAAGCCCGCTCCCAGCATACTAACAACATGGACCAGTCCCTTGGGCGGTGCGCAGGCAGTGTCTGTATAAACTTACCAATGCGTCGTCCCAAGGGTGGGGTGCAAATGGCGCGGTGCTATGAAAGCGCGTAACGTCAGAAAAGCGCACAGACCGTGAGTTTTGAACCCACGACCTGATACCATATTGCGCATTTCCAGACGCTGTCCTAACCACTTGGACATCCCCGTCTTTTTCTACAGGTTGTATTTATAATTTCTCTAATACCTTAAAGGAAATACCTTAAAGGAAAAGGCAGGTCTCGCGTGACGGGCCCACGCGAGACACCGCTCCCGGTGCCAAGGGAAACCGCAGGAGGGAGGGAACAGGGCAGCGGAACCGGCGTGGGGACGAGGCCGAGGCGGGGGCCAGTGGAACCGGCGCAGGGGCGAACAGCGAAAGTGGACGCGAAACAGCGCGGGCCCGCGGGCAAAACCGGCAGCAGCGGGGGGGCGGGGTCGACTTGCGACGCGCGGGGACGAACGGGCAAAACCGCCAGCAAGGGGGGGGCGGGGTCAGACTGCCCGCAGCGAAAGTGGACGTCAAACAATGTGGGCTCGCATGCAAAAACCGGTTTTCATGCGTGGCGTGCGTGGTCCGCGTGCGGTGCCGCAGGGGACCGGAGAGAGAGAGAGAGAGAGAGAGAGAGAGAGAGAGAGAGAGAGAGAGAGAGAGAGAGAGAGAGAGAGAGAGAGAGAGAGAGAGAGAGAGA